TCGCTCTCTTAGGCTGTCAGCAGTCATGGCAATTTTTTTTCTTTTATCAGCACAACTCTTATCTGATTCACAGCACGGAAGTGCTTCATTCTTCAAGCCAGCTCCTTGAAAGCATGCTCAGTGCTTTTAAGAGAGGTCAGACAGGCTGAGAACTGACTGCGGGGACTTTTACTTTGTGCATATTTTTTTTTCCTGGAGTAATTTAATCTTGACCCTAACTTGACTGATTGTGAGACTGCTGAGGTTCTAGGGCTGCTTTCATGCCAAAGGCTACCAGCTCCTCTCCTGGTGAGAGGGGAGACCACCCAAACTCACCCAACCTTTGTTTGAAAGGAGTGATTGATACTGTTTGTACTCCGTGGCTGCAGGTTGAAACGCTTCCTTACAGACATGACACGCTTCCTTCAGGGCAGCAGGCAGTCGCTGCAGAACACGGAGCAGATTTATCTGCCCACTTCTGATCAGAAGGCGGCACAGCTTCGAGGCAATAAATCCAGGAGACAACTGAAAGGAAATACACCTTTGTCAGCGATGGCTCTTGGGGCCCAAGGCAGCCTGGCGGAGGGGAAGCACACGTCATCTGATCTGCAGCTGGCACGGCTGGGAATATTGCATTTGGAACACACCCATGTGGTGTTTTGGGGGGTGAGGGGAGGGAGAAAGCACGCTCAGCCATTTTGAGGTTGAGCTATTCACTGTTTGAGTCCGCAATCCTGTTTCCATGAGTGTTTCCAGTCTTGGAAGCTGGATCTGTCCGTAAGAACTTGTTAAATATCTATAAATATTGTTCATCTCAAACTTCATTACAAATGGATGTGTTGGGTCTGCATGGAAACCCCATCACCGAGATAGGGCTCTCTGCTACAAACACACTGCTGGGCAGTTCACTGCTTCCACACCGAATATTAAATATTCATCTTCACCCAGATGGAAGCACGGAGCTCAAGGGAGGGCTGACGTGACTTAAAGTTAGCAAAGTTTGCAATTTGGTCGTAGTCCTGGAGGTGAAATATCCGTTTTTATGAGAAGTGAGATGCTATCTTTGAAGGGCTTCATTACGCTTGAACGTGAACTTCCTCTGCGGTGGAAGGCCTGTCCATAGACAGAGCAGACAGTGCAAGCTCAAGAGAAATAAGCACGTGATCATCCTGGAAGGAAATTATCATACAAGGTGAATAGTGGCCCTTGAGCACTTGGGTTTGCTGTGTTTCAGTGTATGTAACAAACAGAAGCACCCTCACATCCTGACGTCATCTCCTGTGCAACACATGGTTGCATTCAGAGCACCAGGACGCTCCTTGCTACCCAGCCCTGATCCAGATGGGGATCCTGTGCTCAACTCAAGCAAAAAGGGAAATGCACATATCTGTTTTTTTTTTTTTTTTTTTTTTTTTAATTTTAATTGAAACAGTCTCTGCCCAGAAGCACTGTCAGAAACACACACAATCAACCGACTTGGAATTGGACCCAGTGATCCTCATGGGTCCTTTTCAACTTGGGATACTCTTCGATTATATGATTATAGGTGTGCAGAAAAACAGCCTTTGTGCAACCCAACCCACTTCAGGTACATTCCTCGTATCTTCAAGAATATTCCTCCTTACACCAAGAAATGCTCTTCTTAACAAATGAACGATTATGGTTTTAGCTACAAGATAAAAAAACAAATCCATTCTAATTGAAAAGAGGTAAATTATTTTTTTCTTGATGACTTTTAAAGAAGATGACTTTGGAAGAAGTTGGACAAATGGCCCATCTAAAATAGGACATGAAATAACTCACTAATTAATCCTATGCTATCAACATGGGCCAGTGAGATCTGCATAATGTCCCTCCGTATGTCTCCACAGGGTGTCAGTGTTTTTTCAAATTTGGGTCATTTCATGCTGGAATCAGACTGATGTCCTCAGCAGCTCAGTTTCAGGAGCCTGCTCCTCAGAGGGCAGCCTGTTTGTCCTGTGCTTCCTTTTTCCTCCCACAGCCAGCGTTAAAATATGAAGACCAGAAAGACGAAGTCATGATCTGGGAATGACTTGAGGGTTTCAGGGGCTTGAGAAGGGGCAAGACTCCAAATTTGCTAGTAGTTCGGTGGGTGGGATTCCTGTGGGGCAATATGTTTCAGCAGGGAATGCAAAACTCCTTCCTCTGGTGCTAGGTGGCAAGCAGTGTGTCTTTGGCAGAATTAACTTGAGCTGCACACACTTGTCGCTGTTTGCCCTCCCATCCCTATACCAGTTGTGCCAGTTCTGTGCAGCTGCCTGGGCTGTTGTAAAGTGCGCTGCAGAAATGACCTTGGCTAAAAGTAACCTGGCACATAAAGGAGGTATGTTCAACACAGATTAATTACCCCATCTAATTCACCAACCAGCCACATAAGCGTTGTGGCAGCAGGGACGAGGTGCTGGCAACTCAGGTCAGCACTGCTGACGACAGTGGTGTTCCAAGTAGAATCCAGCTCAAGCTCTGAGATGTCCAAAAGTATCCGAGGGTCTCATTTCCCACAGAGCTCAAGTTTTCATGTTTCTCCTGCACGAGGAGCCACTGTACTTTTACTTTCCATTACAAACCTCCCCTAAGCCCCATGAGCAGCCAAGCCGGGAGGCTGAGAGCAGAGACCTGGACTCCCCAGGTCAGCATCACTTCCCCAGCTCAGCATCTCTCAGCTCATGAGGTTACAGTGAAGCAGAAGCTGGCCTGTGGACTGGGCTGAGTGGCTGCTCAGTGGCCAGCCTTCCTTGCCATGGCCCATTTCAAGGACTTTTCTATAGGATGACCACCGCCTCTGCTAAATTGTGTGACTGCTTTTTCAAGCTGGAAGAGTTGGAATGCGATGGTGGCAGATGATGTAATGGGATAAGGATAGTAACCCAATGGAAGGCCAGGCTCTGGGGCTCTGCCAGCTGCTTTCAGAGAGAGAAGAGCTTCCATAGACAAATCTCAAGGGGAAAGCGAGGATGATAATGTGCTCCAAAGAAAAGCATCTTCACCAAGCCTCTGTACTATGGGTTCAATCTGGGCAAACCAAGACAGCAGGTTCTTTCTCCTTCTTTCTCCTTCCCTTCCTGCAGCAGGCAGGCCACCAGCCTCACAGCCAGCCCCGCTCTTGTTTGAAGCTCCCCGGTGGTCTGCAGAACATTAAAATTTCTGGAACGGCTGCACTGAGCGATGGTAGAGAAGGGGTATTGACTGGGACCACTGTAGCTATTTCTTAGTCTTTAAAAGAGAACCATCACGGCAGCTATTTAGCACGGCTTTGAAAATTCAAATATTGACAGAAGGAAGTTTTCCGGAGGACGCCAGCAGCGTTTGCAGCAACCCCAGCAGCAGAAACACACTGCAGTGTCAGATGTGGGCTGCAGCACAGACCAAACCCACAAGCTCCACGCCGGCAGAACTACAGCTGAGCACCAACACCGCTGCACCTTTCTGTTTGACTGCGCTGGAGAAAGGGGTGGTGAGGGTAGGAGAATGGAAGGGAAAGACTAAAATGCCCTGAGGAACTACAATTGCGTTTGCCAAACGCTGCATTTTACTGGGAAAGGGAGAGAGTGACTTCACTTTTTACCTCGCTTTCCCCACTTCCCTTGCCCCATACAGACAGATGTGGCTTTGCAAGAAAATTAATTACAGATGGAGGCTAAAGAAAGGGGAAAAACACCCTCCACCGCAAGGCTTTTTCCTCTGCAGACTGGAGGATGGATGGGGCGGCCTGGGAAAACTGGCAGATGGAAAACCCATTACAGATGTGAGGTTTGGAGAATAAGGCTGAGGGACAATTTGAGAGCTGTAAATTTTAATTTTGGGGGTATAAATGCATTGCTTAGCAACAAGAAACAAATAGGAAGCAAGAAGCCTCAGGAGAGAAATGCTTAAATATTTTAGAATCCCTATTTGAAGTGAAGACTGCATTACCAGAGACCTGAGGAGCTGCTATTCTCAACAGCTAACCGAGTGGAGTCAAGAGAGAAAGAAAACATGGGCTTCAATCTCATTTCCACACAGAAGTGAATTTAACTTACTTTGGGAAAGGAAAACAGCATTGTTTGTTCCCATCCTTGTTGTGTGCAGCACATACCTGCCCAGATCTGACATGAGGTCATCTTTAAGCACGTTGCTTCCAAGGAAAGACTTCTCACAACGCATCCAGGGCTTTGCAGGGAGGCTGCTTTACGGGGCTGTGCAATCATTGCTACCATATGTCTGACCCTCACTACACGGTCTAATGCCTCTTTATGCTGCTGCATAAATCTTTGCCTAGAATTCCTGACATCTCAAAGGATGGTGGGGGCCTCCATCCCCAAGGAGAGGAGGAGAAGGGTGAAAAAGAACAGATCACCTGGAAGCAAACACCAAATGTTCTACTCTGTTTCTTTACCGTGAAAAGATGAGGACAAAGAGGAAGGGAAAAAGACATCGCCAGCTCTGGAGGTCAAATGTTACTGCTTTTGTCTTTTTTTGTTGTTAATCCACTGATACTCCATAAACACGAAGACGAGTAAAGCACAAAGCTTCCAAATGAGCCCACGACCAAAGCTTTAGCTCTGCAGCAAAAAGGGAACTCTCTAAGGATTAAAAAAGAAATGCATAAGAAACCAAAACTCTCTTAAAAAGTTATTTTTCTTTTAAGAGCCTGAAATAAAAAATTGTTGTTCAAGGACATGCACGCATACATTTATATTCAAAGAAGTAACCAAATGATCAGAGCCAACATCAGGCAGTTCTTTGCCTCATTGCAGAGCACTACCCATAGCATACCTTGGGGCTGTGCTAACTTGGTAGGAGCACGCTCTGATCCCCTCCTGTGCTGCTGGGCGTGACATCACTGTGGCTTTCATGAGGGAGGTCTGTACTGATGGAGCCCTGAAATAAGCCAGACGTTCCCATTCAGTTTTGCTGCTCCAGCTAAATGGGAAAACTCCAGTTCTGGGGGGAAAAAACAGTCCGCAAACCCAACCAAACAAGAACTCTTGAAATAACCAAATCCCAAAGGCCTGCAAGAGTTAAAAATCAGGAGGAAAATTTATTGGTAGCTTAGTACTTCAGGCCAATGAACACAGCTGTCTGGATGCAGACGTTACCTTCAAAATTAATGAAAAATGAGAAGCACAATGGACACTTCTTGTTCAACGGTCAGAAATCCAGACAGCAAACAGCACTTGGAGAGAAGGCACTCTGACATAGGACAAAGTAGCTCATTACTCACAGTTTGCCTCATTTGGAGGGCTGGAAGAGTTCTCTAATTACCTAGAAAGGGAAGACAAAGAACCCAATATTAAATGCAGCTACAAACTGTGCCTAGAAATGCATTCAGTTGCCATCTTTGGTACGCTAACGAAACCAGCTCAGAGTTTAAAAAAATAGAACCACAAAAAAATACAAAACCTGAGACATTTGGATACCAATTATTCTTTGCTTAAAGACAAGACAGAGCAAGGCCTGGAAAGCTCCTCGGGTCACTGTGTCCCACTCCTATTGCCAACCTGGAATCAAAATTCTTCATATGAGTGCACTGTGTTTCCATTTGGAAAAGGTGACAGACAACATGAAAACAGCAACTGTGAATAGCTACTGCCACAAACACCAACAGATTTTGAAGATGTTAAAAATGTACAGGCCAAAGCTTCCTTTAAATATGAGAGAAATAAGTACTTCTGTATGGATCCTCAGTGTTTTTCTAGGCAGCACCACATCAGCTGAAACAACTCGATGCAAATAGAACCGACAGGATTCAAAGAAGCAGCTCCAGCTGTGGTTAAACTTCAAGCATTAAGGGATGCTCAGACTGCCATTTTGCAGCACGCTGCAGTGATGGGCTACACCAGAAAGCAGCATCTGCTGCAGAATATCTGAGCACCTGCCCCAAAGCCAGCACTAAGCCATTCCTGGAAGACAGGCTTTTGGGAAACAGATTGATGCTTGTCCAAAAGAGTCATGTAACAAAAGCTTGTCTAGGAAAGACTTCAGAAGGATAATTTTAGCTTGGTTTGGAATGGAAGGAGAGGCTTACAGCAGAAACTTAGTGTGCTGAAGGTACACGAGGCTTCGGAGAACATAAGGGATTTGTGTCTTTTATGTTCTCCATCCCCACTCCTTTTTGAGTGGGTGGGAAAGGGTACATGCACATTTTTTGAAGGGCACTGCTGGTGTTCTTTGTTTCCCACTTTAAAAGTGAGGGCTGGATTTGTTACAGCAATAATACTATGGAAAGACTAGCTGGCAGAGAAAGCCGAAAGGGTAAGGAGACATGCGCATCCACTGACTTCCCCACAGGACATCTAGACAGCTCCTTTCCTTCCTACCTGAACTCCTTCCAGCAGAACTATTGATAGAGACTTCTTCCCTCCACTGTACTGCACGAATCACAGAATGGCCTGAGTCGAAAAGGAGCACAATGATCATCTAGTTCCAAACCCCCTGCCATGTGCAGGGTTACCAACCACCAGACCAGGCTGCTCAGAGCCACATCCAGCCTGGCCCTGAAAGCCTGCAGGGATGGGGCATCCACAGCCTCCTTGGGCAAGGAACTTGTTTGGTTTTTTTGGTTTTTCTTTTGCTTAGCAAACCAAAGGGTCCGCTTTCCAATTCCTGAATTAATAAAGCATGCATTTATCTCATTTAAAACACAGTGAATTGGAGGAGAACAAAACTCCTCCTCTGTTGCAAAAAACCACTTGGCCCACCAACACCAGAAGATGAGCTTAATAAAAAGGCCCTCGCAGCTTCCAGTGTTTTTCCTACAGTCAGTTAGAAGCAGCTGACAAGATGATAAACATGAGCCTGAAACCAAGGGCCCCATCCAAGCACAGACTCCCTGCTGCTGCTCATGCTAATAGCCTGACCTGGAGGTAATGTCAGCGGGAGCACTGTACAGAGCTCCCTCAGATAGCCTGGATTTCCAGGGTGGAAGAGGCAGGAAAACTTAAAGCTGTGTGGGAGTGTAAGATCCTAACATAAAAAAGCCAAAAAGCTCCATCATTTCAGCATTGCCAGAATTTATGTGTCTTCACTGTACAATTCAAGGATGCAAAATAGAACACAAAACACTTCTCATTCCACCTTTGCCAGATGCTTTGCCTTCTCATGAAGCCTCTTTCCCCCCAGCATTTCCCTCACAAAAGCAGAATGACGTCCCTGCAGCAGCAGTGCCATGGAGCCTGCCTTGTGCTTTTTTTTTTTGCTTTGGAACCGAAGGGCATACAGAGGCATAGTGAGGAACGAGCCTTATTTTGTTGGATTCCTTCCTGTACGAAGGTAGGAACTCCTACCAAACCCCATGCACTTGCAGCCAAAGTCATTTCTCTGGCCAACGAAGCAACACAGGTCACTTGACCCAGGGTGTTAACAAAGGAAAAAGCCCTCAGAACTTATCCACATTCCTGAGTGAAAACAGGCTGCTAAAAACTGCACTCGAATTCAAGAGCATTATAGTGTGGAAACTCAAATAGCATCAGATATTCCACTGGAAAACAGAAGGAGAATCTTCTCCAAAGTGCAAGACGGCACTGCTGCTCTTGGAGAGCAAAGGGGAGTGAGCAGCCAAGGGGCCGGCCAGGCTTCCCTGCCAAACAAGTACGACTTCTGGTGCTGCTGAAACTACCACTGCTGCTGTCACCCTGCATTTGATACACACTTCAAGCAGAGGAGAGAGATCTGGGGCAGGAGAGATGACATGGGAGTGAGCAGAGATAGGGAAAGGGGCTGCTCTGTTCCCCAGGCTCTGCCTACCCCTGTCCTCGTGAAAAGGCTCCTTCAGCCAGACATATCTGTCAGCCACCAATCTGCCTTGCAAGATCGTGATGCTCTTTGATTTTATTCATTCCTGCTGGAGGTTTTGCTTAAATATAAACAGCGCAGCATTTCAGCAGGAATTAAAAAAATACAAGTGAAAAAAAAAAATAATGAAATAAGAAATTCCCCAAACCTCCAGGCACATTTTAAAGCACATTAAAAAAGACACAACAGTTAACAGCTTCATACATACCACAGCTGCAGTGATTTGGAGCAAAAGTAAGGCACGCTGAATGTGTTAGTGTTTTGTTTTAAAATATGGCTATAGGCTTCACATTCAGGCAAGGGCCCTCCACGACACCGAGGTCTCCCTTTGCAGGCCAAGTCCTCTGCTAACTTTGTAGACATTTTCAGTCCAGCCTTTGCCAGCTTCACCCATTCTCCCGGGCTCTCTGCTCTCCTCCCTTGCCCTCACAGCCTCAGGGTTCACCTGGTGAGGCAGAAGAGAAATGAAGACATCACTTCCACGTGCTCTGTCCAGGAGCAAGGTGGCTGCTGCCCCTTCTTTGGCTGTGAAAAACAAAGAATATTAAAAGCCAACAGTGTTTCCAGAGGAGCTGCCTTCTCTCCGTCTCCCAGAACTCACAGTCACTTCCCTGGTGGAGAGGGAGAAATTCAGTGATTGCCATTCTTCCCATCATCATTTTGACTCCTCTGTCTGCTTCATGTGCCCAGCTGCTGGACTCCAGCACAGCAGAGGCTATTGTGAGGTCCCCAGGGCTCTGGGAACACAGGCATTAAGATTTACAACCAGTAGGCGAAGAACAACTCAAGAGGTGCTTTATTGCTTGTGATGAGGGACTGTATGAAAGAAGCCACAGGGTACTTTTTCATTTGGTGGTGTTTCTTTAGTTCTTGGCAGCAGTCTTTCGTTATTGCTCTATTTTTCTTTCCCCTCCCACTCGTCTTTCATCTCACAGCTTCTGATGCTGACTTAATTGCGACGCACTGAATGTTGGAAAGATACCCTCACAAACGCTAAGCAAGGCAGCAGCTAAAACTCCTGATACTATCCTAGCACTTTATCCCAAGCATGCAAACAAAACAATCCTAGTCTTGAACTTCAGGGCTCCCAGCAACCCAGAACCAAGAGCTCTCAGCTCAGTAGCACCTCGTTTTGGTCCTGCCATGCCAGCACGAGGCCTGCATTGAGACTAAACAGGAACCAAAGACGGAGCCCTTCGGTTGACCAACACACAACTGGCAACCCCACCCTTCTGTAAGATGAGGAAGATCATAACATTTTAAGTCATTGTTACTTTTTTTTTTTTTTTTTTTTTTTTTTTTTTTTTTTTTTTAACATAAGCTACAAGTTTTCCTGTTCAGATATTCATATTTCTACTGAATTCTATTTCTGTTCTTTCGAGGTCTTATCTGGAATATTGTGTTCGGTCCTAGGGCATCCAGTGTAAGAAGGGTATGGACCTGTTGGACTGGGTCCAGAGAAGGGCCATGAAGACGCTCAGAGGGCTGGAGCACCTCTCCTATGGAGAAAGGTTGAGGGAGTTGAGCTTGTTCAAGTTTGGCTCTGGGGAGACCTCACTGCAGCCTTGCAGTACCTAAAAGGGGCTCACAGGAAAGCTGAGGAGGGACTTTTTACAGGGGCCGGTATGGATAAGACAAAGGTTAATGGCCTTAAGATGGTAGATTTAGATTAGATATAAGGGATAAACTCTACTATAAGGGCGGTGAGGCCCTGGCATTGCCCAGAGAAACCACGGGTGCCCCATCACAGGAGGTGCTTGAGGCCAGGCTGGATGGAGCTTTGGGCAGTCTGATCTGGGCAAACCTACTGATGGTGGGGGGACTGGAACTGGGCGTGCTTTAAGGTCCTTCCAACCCAAACCACTGATGTGATTCTACAATTGTGTTTCAAGAAGGGTTTACTGCCTTTGTCTCCACAGCCCTCTCTACCTACCAGTAACAGCAGAAGGCTCTGATGGCTCTTTCACACAGACTTTGACATTCTTGTTTGAAGCGAGGCCAAAGGATGAACAGCTTTTTCTTTTGTAGGCACCAGGCTTTAACAATGCATTCCAATATGTGATTAACACAAAGTAACGTCTTGGTTTCTTGATTCTTCTGATGTGAAAGATGATCAACACCACGTGGAGGGTATACACATACACTGTACCCTTATGCTTTCAGCATTTCCCAAGTGCTGTCCACAAAGAAAAACACAGGCACACGTACTCTTTGAAAGACAAAGCAATTTGCCAGTGTAGGAAACACAAGCAATTACCTTCTGACATTCATCTACAGTGTGTGTGAATGAAGGAACCAAAACCAGGGCAGTTGTATTGTATAGTGCCACTAATGTCAGCAAAGGATGGACTAGCAGCACAAGTAACTTAAAGAAAAATGAAGAAGGAGAGGTGGTGTGTGCCCTTCAACCTATGCTGCAGAATTCAGAAGCAAATAAAATTCTATCAGTCTTCTCAAGCTCGGGTACACAGATGTGATACTTTCTGTAACACTATTTTAAGTGGGACCCAGGTGTTGTAAATCACTCTGTAATGCTCATTAATGGTCTCCGTCAGCATTCCACGCAGTACACAGGGGCAGAGCAGGAGAGCACTCACCCTTTGCACAGATGGTGCAGATGGCACATATGACCCTGGTAACTCAGCACAGTTCAGGCAGTGGATCTCTTTGTAACAGACTTCGAGGCTCACGTCTATAAAATGAACCCACCTTCTGAACTGACGATGACCACAACCATTGCTCCTGCTTTTAAATTTAAAAATAAAAGTTGTAAATCCCATCTCCAGCAAGAATATCTTATAGATGAAAACTCTTATTCAGCTTTTCTGGAGATTACACTACTTAGAGGGACTGTCCAACTCCGTACATGAGCTGTAAGTGACCAATTAAGCCCAAGGAAGCATTCGCCTTGTTTGTCTGGTCCCACCATTACTTCTGTATTTTCTCCTATTCTGTTTTGCACTGCCTTCTCTCGGCCTTCTAATCATATTAATCAGTCACTACAATCCTTTCTATTACCAAATTGCTTAAAATAAATGCCTGTACTTTCAGGCAGTAAAACACTGAAAACTCTAAAGGACAGAAAACTGGAGTCCAGTGTAAATCACGACTGCAGGGCACTGATAATAAACCAACCTTATTCAGGCCAGATAAAGCAGCAAATCCTCATGTAACACACCAAATAATTTATCCTTAGCCAGAACGACACTTAGTCTGAAATCCAAACAGCCGTCTTTGTATGCACACGGAGGCTGCCAAGTCTCCGTACTTGAATGATCTCATAGACTCTGGAAAAAAAAAAAAAAAGAAAAAAAAAAGAAACAAAACATTTTACCACGCTAGCTGAATAGACAGGGGCAAAGAAAGATCGACATTAAAGCATTTTAGAGGTTTGGGACTTCATGCAGATCTTCAGACTAACTTCAGGAAAAAAATATGAACGCAAAGTTGGAGAAAAATAGGGGACCTAAGCAAAACCTCCTCTACATTTCCTTGCTTGCAATAATGCTGTCAATGAGGAACAATCTTCCCTAAATATCCATTTCTTTTCTCTACTGAACTCATACCAAGCACAGCTCATACTCGTTTCACAAACAAGGATAGGACGTGTAATGAAATATGACCTCTCTTAGAGAAGTTCAAGTGCAAGGGCAGTAACATTTTCCCCTGAAACATCACAAAAATGGAGCAGTTTTCATCTGTTGTGACTTGCTTTCTTGTTGTCTGTAAGACGTTGCTCAGATAGAAGGGAAAGCAGAACAGAGGAGAAGGGACAGAGCAATGGGAGACAACATGGATCCAGGCGAACAAGAGGACATTGATGGACACACTGCTACCTAGCAGAAAATCGTGTGCAGCCCAGTTGGCCGGTGCTTAGCACTGAGCACAGATAGTTACTGAGCTCAGCTTGGTGCCCAGCTGTGTACACTGGACCTGATCCTCTACTTGAGTGAATTCCTGCCGTTCAATCAGTCTATGAACGACGACAATTTTACCAGCTGGAGGCTGGCTACCTTTTGGGTTTCTGAAAACACTGCGGTGCCTTTCAACATGCAGCTGCACACACGAAGCCAACTCCAGAAGAGCACACAAGCTGTGTCTTACCACGCTCAGATGGGACAAAGGCGAGCAGAAGTCGCAGGCTGAAATAGCGACTGATAGATTTGGATTTCTCCCTTGCCAGTTGCTGGGTTAGGATGGGCTGCATTTCCAAATGCGCTGCATACTCAAACTCCCAGTTGACAAGAGAGACTCAAGCGGTCCATTATACCACTGGAAATTATGTCCCTTGCAGCGTTAAGCCAGGCACCAAATATGCATAACCTATCTTAAAAAAAAACAGGCATAAGTCACTTGCTTCACCTCAGAACGAGTGCATAAACTGCACAACACAGGGAACGTTAAGATAACTTCTATTTTTTTAAAAGCCTTACAAACAGTTATCTACAGTTTAACAGCACAGTGAAATACAAGGAGTAATGAGGAGAGCAACACCAGCTGAAAGCTTGGAAACTCCATCTCAGCATCCCTCGCCCTCCTGCTTTTCTCCGTGGTGCTCCTGGGCAACAAGGGCATCTCTCAGCATGCACCAATGGGAAAGAAACAGTCTTGGTGCCACGTGTGGGGATTAGCCAGCATAGCTGGGTCCACATGGACTGCAGCACCCTGCTGCACACCTGCAGGTAGTTCACACTGTAATCTCTCTCCCTGGTCCTCTCTGCATAAATCAAGCAGCAGGGAGACTCAGAAACATGACGAATACGTTGGCTAGAATATCTCCTGCTGTAAAGACACAGGGAGGAAGGGGGATACTAAACTAACCTTGCCTTGGATGGAAAAGCAGCTGGAATTTAATGTTCTTGGAAGCCAGCCCTGGCTGTTGAGACGTGGATCTGCCAGGGAAGTCCCCAGCGGAGGCATTGCTCATTCTCCTAAACTAAAATGTCAAGAGAAAACACTGGAAATCATTAAGCACTCTGTTCAGCATTTCTTGAGCCATCTCAGGCAGGGGGTGGGGAAAAAAGCCTCAGCCACAAACAACACAGAAACAAATTCTCAGTGTTAATACAAAACAGAGAGCAGAACATCAGAAATCCAAAGCAGGATTTCACTTAATCTTGTCCATCTGAAATGACATAATACCAAGCCAGCCTTGGACAAAAAAAAAGGAGAAGGAAGAAGTGGAAGTATGGAGCAGAAAGCAGAATGCACCTCTCCTCCCAGCACTTCTCCAGCACAGAGCTTTCTGAATTATTGAGTGAAAGGCATAACTGGGGAAGCATTTTGGTACCATGCTATCAAAGTGCACACCATGGGACCCCCATCTTTCACAAGAAATATAAATGACCAAACAGTGTCCATTGATACAACTAAAACTCAGTGGCCATTTTTTTTTGCAAAAAACAGAGATAAATTCAGTAAGCTCACCTTGGTACTTAACTGGTAGCAGATTAAGTGGGCTGTCTCTGTCTGTTTGATAGCAGAAGTATTTGTACATCCTAACAAAATAAGGTTCTGTACTTTGTGAGCTGGGTAAGCTGGATGCTCAGTGCTGACGACTGCAATAAGTGCCAGAAACAATTTCTCTTCCTCTGTACTACTTGTAAAGCATTTGGCAGTGTGTTTTGGATGAAGGCTGCATTGAAGGGGAGAGAGGAAAAGAAAAAAAAAAGATTTGAACATCGGAGAAGTGTTAAATAATAAGGAATCAACTGAGAAAGCGCTGTGCAGCAGCCAAACTTGATGTTTTAAGCTCAGATTAACAACATTTCTTGTGCTGGAAACCACAGCTAGAAGTATTTTCCCGCATGGTCTCACCATGGACCACATGCACATGCACAAAGCATTGAGTCCAATGGCAACAGAAATATGGACTTCCTCTCCCTGAATACCTGGAGAGGTGTGTGAGGACTTCTTCTAGGACATGTGGAAGGGTACATTTGAAACAGGCAAAAAGAAGAGTGCCTCTCACCTGATGGAAAGCTCTCTAAAGATAGAACACACGGCGTGCATGAACTGAGCAGCTCCTACTGAGCATCCAACAGAGCTGAAAGGATGAAGTGCAGAAAAGCAGACCTGGGTATCCTGGCACAGCTGTGCTGCTGCTTTGAGGCCAGGGGAGGGAAGAGGAGAAACTGAAGACTGAGATACAAGGGAGATTTCCCAAATTTGTGGCTAACACGTTCCATGGATATCACTTTAAAAAATTACATTAAAAAAGAAAATCAACAAAATTAGAAGCAGCCTTTGAGCACTGGGCTGAGACATCTCTTCCCAGAGGCTTTCAAGCAGAAAGAATCCACACTGATTCCAACAGTGCTGTGTGTTGAGTTTAAATGGACAGAATTAAAAAAAAAAAAAAGATAAAAAAATGAAAGGTTTTATCTTCCCACAAGCTGACTGGTATAGCAATTTTCATCTGAAGCAGATCACCAAGACAAATGCATTCTCAGGGATTTCCTGTCAAGAAGTCACTGTAACACAAACATTTTTACTGGGAGAAAAGAAAGCTTACTGGTGACATCAGCAGAACACTATTTCCATTTCAAATGGAGAGTGTGGCAACTTCAGGTTTAATGGAAATTAAAGCGTGCTGGCACTGTCAGCTCAACGTTAAGCCACTTGAGAGGTTTGCTTAATTTATAAAAAGTGATGCTCCTGAATGGGACGCACTGTCAGTGCTCTTACAGATCCGACCCTGCTTTCCATGTGTGCTAATGGAACCCTTACGGTTCTCGATTCACAGGACTTCAGTTTGCATTACCACGATAAATGTGTTATGACTTCAAATCCTAAGCCTGATCTTTTAGGAAAAAGTAAAAATATATATATATTTTTCCATAGCTCATAAACAGCTATGTACCAAATGTCTGTTTACCAGCTCTGATCCACCTTCCAGTACAAACAAAGGAACCAGATTCCACCTTTGGAAAGGCGGCGTAAATTCGTGTTTTCTGAGTAGTTCAGACCCCTACAGTTTAAGATGAGGTAAGCAAAGGCTCAGAGTTCTTTGAAAGCTCAAATTATTTAATGTGCAGACATCTCAGCTTGAAAATTCACATCCTAAGAACTCGTATTGCCATAGAGGGCATAACATAAGAAAGATGTGGGCCACTCCATGAGCTCACAGAAAGGGGCAGGGCTCAGTAAGAGTTCTAACCAGGCAATGCTTTCCCTTCAGTGCAATTGAACTCAATGCTTTCTACTTCTTACACACTAGAACTATTATGATATTTAAATTAAAAAAAAAAACCCACTTTTTGAAATTCACATTTCCTTCAATATTTAACAATCTCTGAGACTGTTCCTAAAAGACCACCGCATGAAAGAGACTTCCTACGTGGCTAAGTGTCATCTCTTGGGACTGCTCACCTATTCATAGCTTCTTTCATGATCTGATTCAGCCCCACAGAAAGCCCGAGGGCCTTGGTCCCCACACTTGCCTTGAGAAGCTCTAAGAGGAGATTCCCCTCTCCCTGCTGACACGGAACATCTTTTATTCACAGCCAGTTTATGCGCTGTCACAGTTCATGTGACAATCTTCTCTTACTTTGAATG